CTCTATACTGAGTGCCCCTGTTCATTCATACATTGTGGATAGAGTATACTTACTATAACCACAATCATGAATGAATGGGAAGTGCTGTAGATGACTTCCCATTCATTCATAACTAGGACATAGTAAGCACACTATATCCAGTCATTTACAAACACTCACCGATCAGCTTATTGGTGTTTGTGTACCTGCTTTCCATCCGGCTCTCACAGGAGGGGGGCGGGCAGTGGGGGAGGAGAGCTCCACCTCCTGTGACAGATCAGAGCACTCTCCTCCAATCACAGGAGGCGGAGATGAGGTGTGGGAGAAGAGCTCTGCCTCCTGTGACTGATCACAACTGTCACTGCACCATAGCCCTCTCCATCCTAACACAGGAGGCGGACCCGTGAGGTGCAGGAGGAGAGCTTTGCCTCCTGCAACCATGACAGCCGTCACCGCACCGCTCGGCATCCTGACACAGGAGGTGTGGGATGAAAACTCTGCCTCCTGTGACAGATCACAGCTGTCTTTGCCCGGGACCGCTCTCTATCCTGACACAGGAGGCCAAGGCGGAAGGTGAGGGAGGAGAGCTCGGCCTCGTGCAATAATGTCAGCCGTCACCGCACAGTGCCGCTCTCCATCCTGAAAGCTGCTCTCCTTCCCGCTGGGCACCGGGGCTGCATCAGAAGGCACACAGACCGGCACCCAGCGGGGAGAAGAGAAACTGGGATACACTGAATTTTTGGCTGTCGTGGCACTTTCGGCAATTTGCCAAAAGTGCCATTTTCCGCGGCCGAAATTTCGGTGCATCCCTAATTAAACAGCAGTGGCGTCAAGGTCATTATATTTTAAACACTTTGGGAACATGTACTTTGTTAGAAACATTGCTGTACAATCGATTAAATCATTATATGTACATACATTCACAATATATAAAACTTACAGCACCATTGCACTACAGCTTGCTACCTTTGCAAACACACCATCTTTGCGAGCATGCCAAAGCACAGAAATTAAAGCGGATTTCCAGGATAAATCAACACTATCCCCATTTGTTCCTACAGTCCTAATGCAAATAAAAGCAATTCAGGGACCTTCATGATGAAACATGCATTGGCTTTGGAAGACTAGGTAAACAAACAGATGAAACAGAGCTCAAAGTAATTATGGGGATCGTATGTACAAATGTGGGGGGAAGTTTATAAATCATTAGGAAATTTGATCTATAATCTGAGCTAACCTTCGTCTAAAACCTGTAGTTTAGCTCCAACATGGCATGATATTCTGCTATAGAATATCTTTAGAGAATGTAGAATTTGTCACTTTATGACTGAAAGCGGTCTAGACAATGTTGCTTCAAAGCAGCTCTCCACCCTTTGTATTTCACTGTATTATGATTCCCAGATGGAATGAGGTTTTAATGGACAAGGAGCGATACACAACGCTATATACTTTACATTTACCAAAAAGTTCAAATTTGATCCCATTTGTCCAGAGAACATTCCTCTAGTACAGCAGTGGAATATCCAAGTGGTACAGGAGCAGGGGTTTCTTCCATGGTACACGCTCATGTACCAAGAACATAACATTTGTTTACTAGTCAGCTATAAGGGAAAAAATGTACGTGGAAGTTATGAAGTACATGAGTTGCCTATAGATCCTTGGCGGTCACCCTAGGGTGTTTTGGCACATTTGAGGGATCTTAACTGCCTAAAGCTGGGTGTACACACACTTCAAAGTTCGTCTGGTTTTGCTGAACTGACCGAAATTCGATGCATGGGCGACACTTTTCAGCACCTTTCTGGCCGGCATCCCTTTACCAAATGATCAAAAGAGCACGTCGGAAAATTGAGGGCCGAACAGAGCTAGCAGCCAATAAGCTGCCAGCTCTGTTCAGATATTCTGAAAGCAGCAGCCTATTACAAAAGGTAACAGCTCGCAAGCATTGATGGGGTATCTGTTCTATTTTCTTTGTTCAGACAGCAGGTTGAATGAAGAAAACAGAAGCGTGTATACCCGACCTATCATTATCGGATAAAAGATATAGCAATGTAAAATGCCGTGTGGACTTTAAATTTGAATGTATTATTAATACTTGGACCTAATTTTAGAAGACATGCATGTAGACATCTAAAAAACTGCTAAGGGTTCACAAAACTTTTCATTTTTAGAACAATTACAAAACCGATACGTACAAGGGGACATATTTTTCTTTATCCTGGAAGATGCAGTGGAGAGAAGCAAAGCACAAAAAAGAAGCACACCTATTAAATATTAGCTGATTTGCAAAAGCACAAAAGTTTATTATAAAGACTAATGGCGCTGGAAAATATTTTAGTGAAACAAAAGGCCATTAAAAAAATAAAAATAAACCTTTAAAAACCAGAACCTTGCACTCCAGTTATATAAAAACAAGCTATTGTGAGCAAGTCGTATTCCCTTATATAAATCACATCCTTTTAACAAGAACCTGCAAAGATACCAAATCCAACAACTGGCTCAAAAAATACACAATGTCACAGGCCTACGGTGTTCATCTCCTAGACTATGCTAAACCTGATGGGCCCCACCTTTTGTAATTAGGGCATACATCCAATAGCTTAGTATACTCCAATCAACAAGACAGATTCATCAGCATTTTCTCAGCCCTGACCCTCAGGGGCCAACAACGATACAGGTTTTTACCAATACTCATGGAGTCACCAGCATAAAGAAATGTGCATATTTGAGTTCAAGAATCGCAGTATTTCACCTATGAAGAAAAATTGCACTTATAACTTTTAGATTGTAAGCCCTCTCGGGCAGGGCCCTCCTTGCCATCTTGTCTTGAATTGTGATTGTAATGTCTTCCTTATATTGTAAAGCGCTGTGCAAACTATTGGTGCTATATAAATCCTGTATAATAATAAATAACCGATTGGGAAAATACTGTCGTAAGAGTTTTAAATCTGTTTTCTGTAAACGAACTGTGCCACAAGCATACTACAAAAAAAGCCACTTAAAATGACACTAAACTCGGGAGTAAAATCCTAAAAATGCATTCAGGTATCCCAACTATGAACCAAACTGTATTTTGTTTGTGTATGAATGCATTTTGAAGGTTTAACTCCTGAGTTTAGTGTCACTTTAAAGCAAACCTGTGGGTTAATCTAATACCACAACTCATAGCAGTAACAGATATTCAGCAGCATAACTTGTCAATATTCTTCTTTCTACAAAATGCAATGCTGTCTCCAGCTACTTTTCAATATTCTTGATTAAGAATGTCCTCATCCCACAATAGGCGGGCAGGACCTAAAGAACTATCAGCAGAGCAGCATACTGGCACGTGGGGGCAGGTTGACTATACAAATTGCAGTTATGTGAATGTTGGTTGAGAAAGGTTTTTGTGTGGAGCTAGAGCTCAAGATTCTGCGTGGCCTCGGGCTCACCATACAATACTGCACAGTAGTGGCGCTAACATTGTATGCAGTATTGAAGACCGCAGCAGGCTGAAGAGGAAAAAGGCCGGAAGACCTCTAGTGACCAGCCAGAAGACCTCTAGTGACCAGCCAGAAGACCTCTAGTGACCAGCCAGAAGACCTCTAGTGACCAGCCAGAAGACCTCTAGTGACCAGCCAGAAGACCTCTAGTGACCAGCCAGAAGACCTCAGGAATAAAAGGTATGTAATAAGGGATTTTAAAAAAAACCACCACAACAGCAGCGGGAGGACGGCTGTTGCTTTCCCTGCAGCAGAGAAACGTCAGGCCACTGACCTGGTTGTATGGTCTGACAAGACTATGTAAATCTCAGAACTTACTGAACACAAATCCTTTAGCAGATAAAACAGCTCTCATATAAATGGATTTTAGCTGTGTATTTAGGTTTTTGCCTTGAGTTCCGCCTTTAATCTCCCCGGAGGCTGATTTTAACCTAAAAAATACTAGGCTAATGTTAAAGGACTATATTATAGTCATTCACGCATTTGTTCTAACAAGCATGCCAAAGCATAAAACATTCTGTGAGTGTCCACAACCAGCAGAAAAACTTGAAGCCCACTCCTCGTTGTGTGCAGGTTCAAAATGAACCGCTAAAAACCAGATTCATACTGCTCCATTTGCTTACAAGATGGCGGGAAGATTAATCAGGAGGGACTGGCAGAAAAGTTTAAATGCCGATTAAAAAAACTAAAAAAAACTACAAAATGATAGACTGAACAGCCTCCATACTGATCCAATAGTGCTATATTTGGTATATAAACACCTTGGTGATATACTGAACATGCTGTTACCACATTATTTTAATACCTGCCATGAGTTCCAAAAAGCCCATACAAAAGCTATGTCAAAAGACTGGTCTGGTTAGACAACTACTGGCCTGATCCCAAACGTATCGCTAACCTACGAGATTACAGTGCATAGGCTCACATTTTAGCTAGCACATGTGTGCAAAAAATTAGCGACCACTATAAAAAAAAAAAAAAAAAAAAAGTGTCAAAACGTGGAAGGAGCACTTTAAAAACAGGACAGCCACACTAATTATGTACATATCTGTACAAAAAGGTGCTTAGGAAGAGCAACAGGTTCCCTACCAAAATCATAGGAGCCATAAGCCCAAAGTATAAATGGCAGCAAGTAAAGTAAAACGCCCAGCCTAAGAAAGTGCAGAAAACAAAGAGCAATTCTAACCCAAAAGGTTTTTATACGGTGTGTCCATTGGAGAGATACTGTGTTGCTGACCACCATCACTGGAACAGGCTGTAAGGGGAAAATACACTCCAATGTGGACACAAACAGCAAAAAAGACCTGACGCTTTCTGCTCTTTCCTCACTTTAATCTAGGTTTTGGCTGGAACGTTGCCTTAAAAGAGGTTATAATTAAAGTTGCACAAGAAATCATTACAAAGATGTGGTGTAGCACACACAAAGAGCTATGCAGAAGCAAAGAGCAAACATAAGCACAGACATTTATAATGCTTGACAAAGTCACAATTTTCATAGCAAGCAATATATCTTTTCGATTCTATTTATCTATTGGTACTTACTCAATGGCTGCTTGTTTCTGTAGTTTTTCCCTCTCCCATGTAGATAAATTAAGATCTCCACCTACAATTAAAAGATTGAGTTGTGAATGATCGACCAGTCTATTCTCAAGTTATGCTTTCAGTATAGTACAGTGTAAAAGGAAAAAACTAAATTGGCAACTCCATTTTATCTCAATCTTTTTTTATACAAGAAGCCCCTTATGTCTTATCATTTCCAACAAAATATACATAATGCACATTCCTAGCCAATCTAATAAAAAATATTGCTTACTTACCTCTAAGCAGGTTCACAAAGTACAGCATTACAACTGCTATAATGGCCACTACAAAACAAAGAAAAAGAAAAAAGTAGTTCTGAATGTAGGGAATAACCAAATATTATTGCTTAAAAGGACAACTCCACTTTAATGAATAGAGCATAATTGCTGCACAAGCCATTTTAGAATGTTATTGGAAATGGCCTTTCCATTTAAAACTGTAGCTGCTATAAATGTTCCAGATCTGTCAAAAAAATGAAATGCTATATGGCAACCTGGAGTCTTTCTGTACACATAGCTAGAAATGTCACTTCCTGCTTCTGTGATTGGCTGGCTGAATTTCCCAGACGTCTGCACTAAGATACAAGAACAATTTTTGGCTTCCGTTGCAATAGGAATTTCATTTTTGGTGAGATACTCCCTAAGAGTTCAAAAAGAAATAAGTTTTTTTCCCCCCATAGTTCACTTTAGGGTCACGGGAGGACATATAGTAACCTTCTCCTGTGACCAAAAGCTCAGTATATAGCAGGCTTTTGCCCGCGATATACTGAGAGCACCGCAGCCGGGACGGATCCCGACAATACTGCCGAGATCCACCCAGCTGCGCGAGTGACAGCTGGCTCTGCCTATTTAGATGCAGAGCCAGCTTTGCCCGCCCCGTCCCCCGTTCATTCCTCCAACCCTCGCCAAAGGATCGAAGAGGGGAGAGAGGAATCCCTGCAGAGAGCCGTGACTGACAGTCACCGCTCACTGCATGGAGATGATCGGGAAGTGAGCGGATCGGCTGCATGCTTCTGCTCACTTCCCGATCGATAGAGCCGACCTGTGACAACTTCTTTGTCACAGGTCTGCTCTATGAGGATGAGTTGAAAGCACTCACCTCATAGTTCTCCTTTAAATTACTACTATTAACATGCCGACACTGCACCTTTCACTATTACAACACAGGAAGCCCACCGGCTGATCATAATGAACCCAGACCCTCCCAATCAGGAATCAGTTTGGAAAGGACATGGTAAAACAAACTTCAATTTCTCCAGAACAGAAACAGGCAGGAAACTACCAAAGTTTATTAAAATACTTACAATGTATATAGATCACCCAGAGAGGATTGATTTGTTTTTTTCCTCCACAAAAGTGGAGTTACCCTTTAAAATTGTCCAACACATAATGGCATTATACCCTACCCAAACAAGTCATATCTTCAGCTGTAAATCCAAGGGTTACACATCTTACAGACCTCTTTATATCAAGGTATCTATAAATGTTCACGCAATTTGACAACATTCAACCAAGATGTCACACAATCTTGAAACAGAATCTAATTAGGAAAATGTGTGAATCTTGATGGAAAACATTTATAAAATTGACCCCCAATGAATGGGACGACTGCTGGAGTACGTTCCTGACACTCATTAGAGCTAAAGTAGTGGCTTGGAAAAGCTGCACAAAGTCTTCAATGTGACCAACTACTACTAGCTATATCATGCCTTGGATAATAAAAATTAAAAAAAAGGAAACTTCACAGAAACACTGATCTAGAACATTTTGCCATCAAGGATTTTGAGGATCAGTAGTTTTATTGTAGTAGCTTGATGCATTGCTAGTCATCTAAACTATTTCATCACAGAGCATATAGTTTATTTAGCACATCATATGATTTAGAACTGTCTTATGCCATCATCCTTTTGGCACACTGCTGCACACCTCTATTGTGCCAAATATTGTCAAACTCATTTGCTAAACCATTATTTGGCACACATTGCAATCTGTCATTTTAACCAAAATGAACTATCATTTGGCGTATGCATGTTTCCGTGCATCAAAGATTTGGCGCATGGAAATAGTTAATCTGGCCCAATGTGTATTTGCACATGGTCAAGCCATCTTTTTTGAGTATGGCCTTTTTTATTTACAATATATCTATTACATCTGGATTTCACATAAACAAAATAACACTTCCACTAGCGAGCTTTAAATTGCATGACTGTCTCCTCTTACAGATGAAATAAAACTCAATTCTAGAGATACTCATCAGGAACAATCAGACCAGACTTTACCCACCAAGATGTGAATGATGAAAGCACGCCAAGGACAGCCAAGACTTACTGCAAATGCAGGCACTGAAAAAGACTTCAAGGAATAAGTAGCCACGGGAATCCAGAATGACACCAGCAACAATGGCAATAATAGCAAGACCAAGATTCTGGATGGATTGCATGCTGCAAGAAACATTTAAATAAAATAAGGAGGTAATACAGGACAGACATGCATGATTTTTAAACCTAAATTATTTTTTTAACAATTACTGGTGCATGTAACCAATTTGGTTTTTCCAAGATATCTAGGGGTACTTCTGCATTAAAAAACAAACTGCCCAAAAACTAGTAAACAACCCAATTTAGGGAGTGGATACTTCCAACAGTGGTTTTGAAACAGATTTAAATGCCAAATTCTCAAATATCAAATTAAAGGTCTTTTTCATAACTCAGTCACCTAACTCCAACAGAGCATGTTGCTTTTTCTCCCATGCTTCTGTGTACACCAGAAACTGAGAGATACAGACTTTAACAGCTCACTCCTCCATTCCCAACCACACTCCGGTTGGAAATCGCCTGTGCCGATTACTGTAATAGTGTTCCCCCTTCCTTTGCATTCCAATGACTCTGCTTGTGTCTGAAAATTGCAGGGACAGTGAGATAAAAGCCATCAATCAGGAGTGTGTCTCCTTTGCAATGTGTGTGGTTAGGAATGTAGAACAGTGAACTGCCAAAGTTCTCATTTTCTGCTGTACACAGAAGCATGGGATAAAATGTTACATTCGCTGTAAGCGTTAGATGACTGAGCTGCACAAAATAAGGTGAGACTTCTTCCTTAAGAGGTCAGAATGACTATGGCCACCATGTGGACCATGAGCAAACAAACAATATCTTGTGTAAAAGAAGGAAAATCATACTTACAATCCATAAGCGGTACCCAGCTGATGTTCAGGAACCACAAATGCTACCATAGGCCACAAAGCACAGGCCAAAAGAGAATAGGAAACGCCCAGTAAGCTCTGTGGGAAAACAGTCATATTTCAGGAAGGCAGAAGACTCCTAAAGCAGATCTTAAATCAGCTCAGATGTCGGAGTTTACAATACTAAAAATAATGAAAGCCGTTTTGATAGAATACTGGTGCAATATACTGTACAATCAGTGATGGTGAACGTTTTTGAACCCGAGTGCCCAAACTGCAACATAAAATCAAATTTATATCAAAGTGCCAACACTGAAAATAAGTTTGGTACTGTGCTTTAGTTTGGGCTCAGGGGTTTAAAAATAGGATTTTGGTACTCACCGTAAAATCCTTTTCTCTCCGTTCATTGAAGGACACAGGGAACAGATCGGAGATCCTGTACTGTAGGTAATATCGCCACCTGCAGGAGAAGGACGCTAGGCACAAAACTAAAGACCAATCACAGCCTAGGGGCGGCCCCTGCCGGTGGCCAAAACCCCCCACCTGCTGACAAGTCTCCAGTTTAGTAACAAGCAGTAAAGGAGTACACCCCATATAGAGGGGCGGGCCCTGTGTCCTTCAATGAACGGAGAGAAAAGGATTTTACGGTGAGTACCAAAATCCTATTTTCTCTCCCGTTCATTGAAGGACACAGGGAACAGATCGGAGATCCTGTACTGTAGGGACGTCACAGAGCAGTACCAAAAAAGAGGGGTGGGCCAACAGAAACAACAAACCCAACTTAAAACAAAAAAATCCCCTCAAACGGCCGCCTGCAACACTTTGCGCCCCAAACCAGCATCCGCAGATGCCAAAACATCCACCTTATAAAACTTGGCAAAGGTGTGAACAGAAGACCAAGTCGCGGCCTTACAGACCTGAGAAACGGAGGCACCATGACGAAAAGCCCAAGATGCCCCAACAGCCCTTGTAGAATGGGCCGTAACAGAAAAAGGAGGCTCACGCCCCTTAATAGCATACGCCTGAGAGACCGTGTCGCGAATCCATCGAGAGATGGTGGCCGACGAGGCAGCCCGGCCCTTCCGAGGGCCATCTGCAACGACAAACAGGGAATCAGATTCATGAAACGCAGCCGTAGCACTCAGATAAACACAGATGGTGCGGACAACGTCCAGACAGTGCAGCGCCTTCTCCTTCCTGTGGACAGGCCGCGGACACAAGGAAGGCAGTCCACCCTGGAATCCCGGGATGGGGGCAGGCCTTCATGCCGAGGGGGGCTTACCCTGGGGCTTGGCGTTCCTGGGCTGCCAGTGGCGTTTGGCGGCCTGGGAAGGCGGCAGTCTGTTGAACTTCCCGCCCTTCTCCGAGGGCGGAGGCGGACGAAAAAGCCGCTTGTGCGCGGAAAAGGAAGGACCCGGCTTCCGCCGTTGTTCCCTAGGCTTTTTAGATTGAGGTAGGAAGGTACTCTTACCGCCCGTCAAATCCTTAATGATCTCATCCAAGGTAGCCCCGAACAGACGCTCCCCCGTAAAGGGGAGCTCCGTCAGAGCCTTCTTGGAAGCCTGGTCAGCCGACCAGCATTTAAGCCAGAGGAGGCGCCGAAGAGTAACC